TTTTCACCGTGTTTCCACTCTCTCTCTCTCTCTATTTTCCCGAAGAACTTCAAAGCTGTAAAAATAGTCGAGACGCGCAGGAAGCAGTTGGTCGGTCGTCCGTGAGATGTTTTTTCATGGATAATGCACGCTAAACGGAATCGCAGACGAGTAAACCGGCGCTCACCAGAACTCGGAGCGCATTCCTTTCACCTGTGTTAAAAAGTTTCTGGCCGGGACATCGACTCAGTTTATCAAATTTTCGGGAAGCTGCTTCGGGAATTTCGATCTCTCGAAAGAGCCTTTCAATTTGTTCGAAGATCTTTCATTTCATTTCATAGAACAATAAAGTGAGAAAGAAACAAGAGCAGAATAATGCATTGCAGAGGAACGATATTTTTTAATAACAAAGATCGAAATTTGCTTTCACGACTTATAAATATATCGAGAGCTTTCGGAAATCTCTTTCCTTTAACAATAATAGATATTAATTATTAATTCTTAGAAACAATGCTGTTTACATTGGCCGAGATTAATCGTTACGTTTTGTAAAATTATTCGAGAGCTTGGATTTTCAAAATTATTCGTGAAACATATGTACATAAAGTATGAACACATAAAATACACCAGGAATTGTTATTTCGTGGCAATGGTAATCGAAATTAAATTCCGCGTTTTATAGAATTATTTGGAATTACTTGGATCTCTTCCAAATTAACACGTCAAGAATAACACGTCAGGAAATGTTATTTTTTGGCAGTGGTGGTCGAAATTAAACCTCGCGACTTGCAAAATTCGATGGTTTTTTGGAAGTTGAAATTTTCTGAAATAATATGGAATAAATTAAGCACGCGTGCCACGCGGCAAATTGTTGTTTCGACGTTAGTTTCGATCAAGTGACGAGACAATTGTCCCGAGCAACTTGAAATGGAAATAGACTTAGCGGGGGTGAGAGACCAGATGAAAGACAAGAGGGTTGATACGATTTCAACGGAAATAAGTTACGGTACTGGGATCGCATTAAGTATTCTCCGACGCAACAACGGCCTGCTCGAGCTGTTTTTCCCAAACCTTTGACCCATTTTTCTTTCGGATTTCG